ATTGTGAGTCGAGCGCCCTAACCACCCTGGCCATGCCGGGCCTCTAAGTTTTGGACGCATGGCATAAACAAAAGGGATTTAACTCAGCTATTCATTGGCGATTGGAGTTTGAACAACTCTTTGGAGAACAATATGCTTGATAACAGGGAACATAAGTATTGACTTCAAATATAATACAACATTACTGCGCAAAGGGGACGCGAACCATGAACCCTCAGATTCGCAGGCCGAATATGCTAATCCCTAGGTCATGCTCGTCTCGTTGACGCGATAGTGAAATTTAAATTAAAAAGCGCAGTTCTTTATGGGATCGTGTTACTCACCCATACATCCCTCATGTGGGTGAGTTATAATTCTAAAAAAAATCGGGTTTCGATATCCGCAGTGGGCAGAGCACGAAGATCATATAATTTGTATCAAGTGTTAATACTTACTTCCCGTGTCACTCAGTGACGTGAAGTAATAACAGTGGTAAAGTTGAGCTAGTTTCTTTTCCAAAAATCGTTTTATTCAATTGGGTATTTATTGCATGTTCCAGATGCTTTCTTCGCATTTGATACGAAGGTATTCTTAAATATATTTAACGGCTCAAAAAGTGTTTCATTGTACTCACGCATATAGGAGTATTCCACTGCGTGGGCCACGCCCAAACAATTGAAGATTGAAATATTGTTTTTCTAACGTTATTAACTCTTCATACTCTTTAAATAGATAGATGTACATCGTTAATGTACCATATGCTAATTTTTATCAAAAAAGGTTTAAATTAGATTCAGATTACATACTTACACCGCAACAATCGATTTGAAGAAGAAGAGTAGTTGGTTCCTTTAATTGTCGGATTGTAATATTGTAGTATTTATCAGCGGTAAAGCGTCATTTGTAGAAGCTTTCTGCAGTTATACACCTTCATAAACAACACACTCAAACAATACTGAAAAGATACAATATGATTATCTTCGTCATTGAAATTATCCAGAGAAATCTATAAAGTGTTAAGTTCGAAACAATTTGGAGAACCAGCAAGATTAAAATAATTTTCTTGGATACTTCACATTTATTCTGAGCCAAAGCCTCAGTGGGTTAGGCGAAGCCAACTGTAAGCGGTTAACGTAATCGGACTGTGAATCTGAGGCTTCATGGTTCGTGATCCATTGGCGCAAAACTGCGTTTTGCAGGTTGAGATCGAGGGTCCGCTATAAGAGTGACAGTCAAATCCCACTATTTATTCAGACAGTAGTAGCCCAAGAGCTTGTAGTGGGTTTTGTTTCCTACTGCTTTCCTTCTCGTCTAGTACATATTTTGGGTGTTTAAACTACATTTTAGACAGTGAATGCCTTATTAACAGTTTCTTTGAGAATGGTAAGGAATAAAAGTTTGCTACACTCCATTACAAAAAACAGCTACTCTTTAAAAGGGATTTTATTCAAGAACGTATTCATAAAATAAAATACTTAAACAAACCTAGTAAAATGTTTATAACACCATTGAGGCTATGTTTTGATGAAATTACGTAAATCACAACGACTTAAAATAAATGTCGTTGATTTTAGTTTCTAACTAATGAGAGGTGAAAGTGTTTACAGTAGTAACGTAAGTATTTTATTATTTCAACCTTAACAGCGCCTTTATACACATGAGTCAATTGTTAGTTCAAAGACCCCAACATTCAGGCATAGCTGTCAGTAAGTTAGAATTACTGACCAGATAGAGGGCAACCAGTCAACAGCACTCATTACTTAAGCAGCTACTCTTAGCTGAAAAGCAACCTCGTAGTATGGACTTTCCGATACGCAGCCCGGCACGCTAACCACGGAGCAATGTAAGGTACACAAGAAAGTTTTAGCTATGTTTCCAGAAGGAAACTATGAATTTGTTAAAAACCTGCTTTTTAATGGTATTTGACATTCTATCGTGACATGTTATCATATTGGTTCAAATTGTTTTGTCGTATGTCTTCAAAAGAAAGGTGTTTTAAAACATTTTATTACAAAAAACTTCCTGTTTAATATAGTTCCACGAACATTTCTAAAACAAACAATTACCTTTGCTCTGTCCGTTAGCGTCCCTGAGTACAGTACACTCCTTAATAAAACCAAAGGGCGAGAACATCAGTCTGACGTCGTTTTCGTTTAATTTCTTGGACAGCATTCCAATGAAGAGTTTTCTTTCTGCAACAGGAAGTTAAACAGCGATAAAATATTAATTTAGCCACAAAACATTTAGTGGCAAAAAGGTGACAGATGTTGTTTTTTATTACAAGCCATTACTTTGTTCTTGTAATCGTATTTTTGATGGACAATCAATTGAAAAACAAATAATATAGGAGGAGAAAAAAAATGCAGTTGGTTAATATTCAAACGAAAATGGTTAATGGTTATTAAAACAGAATTTTATAAGATAACTTCCACAAGATCTGGACGATTTATAGACATCACAGGATATTGGGGGTGGTGGGGGGGTGGAGAAAGAAACTCACATATTGTTGATATCTTGTTTATATAAAAGAAAAACCACGGATTATATTCAATTTGAAAACATTTAGACTTACGGGAAATGAAAGTTAAAAGCAATAGAGTTATTTTTTAAAAAACATAATGGTTTAATAGTGTTTAGAAGACAGTTGTGTTAACACAAATTGATCGAGACCAGATTTATACTACATCATTGTGTAAACTATTTCATGAATGTGTACGGAGCAATTCCATATGTAAAACACATGTGCTACATACTTTATAAGACATCGTAAAATTTGACCAATTTAAGATTTGGGGGGATTTTCTTTTGCTGAATCATATGGGGAGAGGTCAGTTCAATTATTCATATTCATCCGTTTATGTTTTTCAAACATTTAATATCTTTCACATAAACAAATTAAAGATTTTTTTCTGATTGCATATGCCTGCAAAATGGTGTTCCCGATAGGGAGATTGTATCATGAGCTTAAGGACCTGACAGTGTTAAAAACGAGAACTTGTACATCGCTGCTATAAACAGGCCAGAACAGAGGGGGGTTGAGGGGGGGCAGGTTGCATGGGCCTACGATTTTGAGGGGGCCTACTCCCGAATACATAATAAACATGGATGTACTATTGTATTTACTGCTTCTTATTACAGTACTCTACTCTATTGTCTTATATACATTTTGAATAAAATTGCTTGCCATTACCTTTTTTTATAAATCGTTCTAGTTCTTTTATTCGTTTCTGTTGCTTGTAAGTTCATCATGTACACTCACTGTATTTACCCATACATAAATCATATGTATTTAGCACTGATTACAAAAATACTTAATGAGCAGTTTGAAATGGGGCCTACATTTTCCATCTGGCCTGGGCCTATTACCAGCTTTGCGCGGGCCTGAATATAAAAGCAGTACTAGTACTATGTCTTCTATCAGGCACCTTTTCTGTTATTAAAACTTTTTGTGTTTCCATTGTATTCGTATGAACCTGAGCAAATAATCTTGCGTTCCAGCGAAAAGGTACATTAGTAGTTGTTACTTCAATTGTATGTATGTGTTCACTTCAGTAATTATTATTAATAAGACAGGGATTAGGCTCTTACTAACAGTTTATAGAGGTTATTATAACGGGACACATTTGAAACTCCTGTGAATATAGTGTTAGTAATTTGGCTTTGGATTTTCTCGCCATTATCCCTCCCCCGGCATGGCCAGGTGGTTAGGGCACTCGACTCGTAATCTGAGGGTCGCGGTTTCGAATCCCCGTCACACCAAACATGCTCGCTCTTTCAGCCGTGGGGGCGTTATACTGTGACGGTCAATCCCACTATTCGTTGGTAAAAGGGTAGCCCAAGAGTTGGCGGTGGGTGGTGATGACTAGCTGCCTTCCCTCTAGTCTTACACTGCTAAATTAGGGACGGCTAGCGCAGATAGCCCTCGTGTAGCTTTGCGCGAAATTCAAAAACAAACAAACAAACAAAACCTTTTCGCTGATCGGAGACAAAGGTTATTTTTATGCTTCTCGTCACGACTGTTGTATAAAATATAATGACATTAGAGTTTGTAGGACGTAATTATTGAGTCAAGAATAATTTCATTAATTTTCTTGTAAATTGGATATCCGCTATTCTTGAATTTAACCGCACTAATAAAAACCTTTCTCGTGATTTAGACTTTTTGCAGTTTAGAAACTTCAATTACGTTTTCGATGAAAACCTGCTATTAAAGGAAACCACCCACTCCAAAAATCAAGCTTGGTTTGAATTTCGCGCAAAGCTGCACGAGAACTATCTGCGCTAGCCGTCCCTAATTTAGCAGTGAAAAACTAGATGGAAGGCAGCTGGTCATCACAACCCACCGCCAACTCTTGGGCTACTTTTTTACCAACGAAGAGTGGGATTGATCGTCACATTATAACGTCTAAAAGGGCGAGTATGTTTAGTGGGACGGGGATCCGAACCGGCGACCCGCAGATTGCGAGTCGAGCGCTCTAACCACGTGGCCATGATTTTCTATTTTTACTTTACAATTCACACAACAAGCTCGACCATTACGGATATAAAGTTCGTACCATGCCTGTTTAAGCTGAAAATTATTTGCTTATCTATACAGATTTATAAGTTAGTTTTACATAATATTTTTTTTTCGAATATCAACAACTGACTCTTAAGTAATTTAAGTACCACGTGCTTAGTAAATGATCCTGAATAATTTTAGAGCATTGAATTAAATAGGGTAAAACAGTATAGAATACATTTTAATGCAGTATGTCGTCATGACAGAACTTTCAACTAAATTCTTTGATGATCAGTA